TTCCTATTCAGCTTAAAAATTTTTTTGTTAAGTTAAAAAAATCATTTTTTGAACAAACTTTTTGGCCCCAATTTAGTTCCATAAATAAACTTCGACTTTGCAGTGATGCAACATTTACACCTGACTAATTAATGTAACTGAATGAAACTACAGCACAGTCTGTAACACTGGAGGTGACGGTTGTTTTTAATAAAAAACAAGAAGAAATCTCAGCATGCCTGTCTGAATAACACACCTACCYCTGCCTGTCTGTTTGTGCATGTCTGCTCTGCAGGACAGGAGTGTGTGTGTGGCAGTGAGTGTGCTGCAGCCCCTGCTGTTTGGTAAGGGGGACGTCCTGGTGGTGGGCTCCTTCTCAGCTATGACCGTGGCTCACGTCGCCGTCGTAGCTGCCCCCCACCTGGGCCAGGTGTTGATGTGCGGCGCTGACCACACGCCATCACAGGTGGAGGAGGTGCAGAAGCTGCTCTCACAAATGGAAATCAAAAGTGAGTGGCACTGTTTGGATACTAATCGTTTGAAGTTAGGTTTAAACAATTAATATCTTACCTGTTGTAGATAACACTGAAAGCTCTGTTTATCATGTAAAATAACCATGTAATGAACAAATAAAACGATTTAGAGAAGAGTTCTTACATGAACTTTAATCTCTTTGCTCTGGATCTCATCTTTTCTTTCTCTACAAGTCTATAAACTCCACAGTTGGCAAACTCAGCACAAACGTTTTGATATTAAGTCAGAGCGAGATCAAATTATTTCCTCGTGTTTTCCGTTTTGCAAAGATGAATCCGCGTCTGCTACAGGAATTAAAACAGATTTTCTCACTCACTACTGAGTGTGGCACCTTTACTGAAGAGGCTGCTCAGTACGAATCAGAAACCTGTCAGTTGTTCCACAGCTGGTGGAAATGAGGTTTTACATTGCTAATTTTTCTGTTTTACTGAAGCCGACTGGTTTCGTCCCCTCTCGCCGCAGACGTTCGAGTTCTGTCGGAACCGTTCTGCGGTCTGAAAGAGRGGGACGCCACTGTTCAGAGAGTGAGGGTCATTATGGTGCTGCCTCTGTGTTCGTCCTCTGCCCTCAACGACCCCGTGGCTGCAATGCACAGCGAGCATGGAGGTATGAGTAGAAGAAAAGTCCCGGAGGGGCAGAATTGTTATAAATAATGAGGCATAAAGGGTCAGAAAGATGTTTTAATATTGAATCTGTAAAAGGAGGATAAATGGAGGTGGATAAATGAAGTGGACACGAGATGGAAATATAACCTTATAAACTCAATCCACAAGCCTGAACTATGCATCGTAATAAAAACATTTAATGTGAGTTGTAGTAAATGCTTTTGTCGACAGACTGGAATCTACTGCCAGACTTAGCCTGCGGTTCAGTTTCCAAGAACAAAATCCACTCTCTGACCAGCCGACAGGCCCGACTGTTGGGACATGCCCTGTCCTGTGAGTACAGACCCCAAACTTCTGTTTTCAAGCAAAGACACGGCACCGTTTGTTAAACGGAACGAGTGCGGTGTTAAAAAAAAAAGAACTGACTGCTTGATCCGGATCGTGACAAATCTCGTCTGTTTGGTCCGACAGTTTCAAAGGTCCAGACTGTGGTCTACTGCACGCGCTCAGAATATCCTGAGGAAAATGAAGACCTGGTAGGACGAGTGTTGCGAGAAACACACGCCCACCCCAAACTGCTGCCCTTCAGGTGCAACACACACACACACACACARGCAGGCACACTTGGAAAGCTCCATCTCTGAGCCTCTTGACCTAATCAGCTACAAATTGTGTCAGAACACAGATGTTAACTTCATCTCACGTGCTTTCAAGCACAAAGGCCTTTTTGGTGAAAGGCGTGGTCATGGCAGTACACATGGTTGGCTCTAAATCACACATACGTGATCAGATCTGAACTAAATATTGTGTGCATCATCAGGGAGACCCGCTCAATATGTTTGTATAGTAGTTTGACAAGATCACTTTAGCTTGTGTCCATCTGTTCACTTTATGAGATTATTTAATGATGAAGGCCTGGGATGATTCCAACAGCTGCCAACAGTTGGTCGCTACTGAATGGCGACGAGGTTCATCAGCGATGGTTGGAGTCCGCTCGGTGCTCCTCTCTGCTTCAAATATGACCAACATTAAAAAAAATAGTTCTGTATTTTTTTTACTTATCAACACAATTTAAAATTTGATGTACAGCCTGAAATCTGTAATTCTGACACAATTTGGAACAGATTTTTCAAGAGCAAATCTTTCCCACTAAGTTGGTCATGTGACCAGGACATAAGGGTGTCCAGGGACTCCAGGGGATTAATCGTCAAATTAATCGTTATCAGCTAAATACCACAATTAATCGTGATTAATTTTTTGGCCAATACTGCCCAACCCTAATCTCGTGGCTTGGAAAACTACGAAACTTAAATTATCCTTGAATTCTTGCCTTTTTTTCCATGACCAGAGGAACCAAACACATGCTCTTCTTCCAACATCTCTGACTCTATTTATTCTGCAGAGGTCTGCCAATCAGTGCCTAAAGA